CCCCCCACCTTCTCGCATACCAACAACTGAACACCCACCAACCCTCACTTACGTCAATGCCACTTCAGATTGCCAGCTGCTATTGTCGTGCCGATTAGTAATTGTGTCTATCTATACACAGCCGGAGTAGGATCTGTATTGCTATTCTCAGAAACCCCAATGCGACCGTGGTTGTATTTTTCGTCCTTGGGGGTCGTGATCGTCTCGACGGGAATGCTCTTCATTATCGAGTCTTTGCCGGACGAGCCCATTGCCAATGTGCTCATAATTGAGAAGTCTCCCACGCGGTCCCCGACGCGATCAGAGGAGGTAGTCAGCTCACGCGAGAGTCTCGCATTCCCGGGCCCAAAGGCGCTGGAGCACTGCTCCGTACTGCCCGCCCGGCACTACCAACTCCGGGCGCTCACTGCGTCGCTGGACGAGGCCACCACCGATAGGTCCTTCGCCTCAGCCCTCGCGGCAACCTCTGACGCCTCCTTCACGTCCGCAATTGACGACCGCCTGGCGGTCTAACCTCCTCTGCGGCGTCGTGCCGTGGTTAGTCGTCGGCGGATGCTGAGACCTTCCGATTCCACCTCACGGCTTGGTACACCTGGCCGTCGTGTCCGACCAGGGTCCACTTGAACAGCATCAAGGGTTCGCCTTGCCAGGTGCGCGGGTCGAGACCGTCGCGGGCTGCCGCTTCACCCTCCATCTCCTCGCCGTTCGCTGTAGCGGACGTGGCTTCCGAGACAAGGTCGAGTCCAAAGGCCGTCTCGTCCTCTGCAGCTGCGTCCGCTGCGGCCGACTCAGGAGTTAGGGAGGAAGCCAGTACGGACTCGGTGGCTCTCGGGACGAAGATGGCCCGGATGTCATACATGTTGCCGTACTCAGCTGAGGTCCGCTTCTGGTAGATGCGGCCGTTCTTGAAGGTTACTGCGGACCGCCATGCTCCCGTGTCAGAGTCTTTGTGCTCGAAAGGAGGGCCATCGACAGAAACAACGCCTTCTTTCACGTTGTGCCACGGGAACAGGGTTTTCATGTGCATATACAGCGGGGGATCGCGGTAACCCGTCTCGGCCTGAGTACCCATACCCACCAGCTGCAAGTCAATCTTATCCAGATCGTCCCAATGGATTACCGCTTCGCCATCATCCGTTTCCAAAGTGTGAATGCTCTCTGCAAAAACTTCGTCACCATCCTCGGGGATGAACGGCTCAACCAAGCTAAGCGCGTCCTCATACTGCTCCCGGTTCGCGTAGCAACTTTCGTCTGTCATTTTGATAAACGTCGTGGGGGCGAAGTTCCGCAAAGCTTTTTTCTTGAACCAGCCAAACTGCAAACCCGTAAGAATAGAATCCAACGTATCAGATCTGACAAAACCAACACTAACAGTGCAAACGGCTGTCTTACTCTTCTAACATGAGCTGCCAGCGCCCTTGGAAATCACAAATGTTAGTCGAAGCGTACGGAACCCATTCTTCCGGAATGTCGCCTGCAATATATCGTCAAGCAATATCGGCAGCGCTAGTACCTATAGCAAACTCCTGCATATCATCGTTCCACAGGTCGGCCCCGGCGACAAGGCTGATAAGGACTGGGGCATGAAGGAGCCGCATTTTTAGCCGGATTGCGATCGATGTCGCCAGCGCACACGTGTTTGCAACATATTTTCCGACGATGGTTAAGCGGCGCACCGATCCGCTGGCTTGAACGGCGTGAATTTTCTTCTTCATGACCACCATACGCACACCATGGTCTACAAGTATCTTGGTGACCAATAGACGACGGGAACAAGGGGTAAGTTGGGAGTCATAGTTAAGTTGGGAATCATAGTTAAGTTGGGAATTCTTTGTATATTGTTGGTTTCATAGGCAAAAAGGCATTCGTAGGGCACCAAAAAGGAGTTAATACTCATTATCGCTATTATATATGGCTTCGTCCTTGCGTATCTTAACTTGGCGGTGCGCCGTAGGGGGAACGATGTAGTAGTCGGCTGATGTCCTGCGTCCTGTTAAGTAGTTCTCAGCGCCTCGCCGATGAGCGGTCTGTTTTTGTCGGTGGCGCCCGCTGGGTGCGTTGTTGATTGGGCTCCAGTCGAAGAGGAAGTCATTCGGGAATTGTTCCCGGAAGAAGAGGTCCCGGAATAGGCTTCTGCAGTAGGTATAATCCGGTCGTTCAGTGAATCTAAGTAGTCTAGTATAGGACAGATAATCGGCAAATTCTTTAGGTAGCCCTACACATAGGCTTTGGGCGTCTTTGCATATTTTCATTTCCTTAATCTTGTCATACTTTTCCTTCTTGGTGCTCGCCTTGAGACTCTGCCACGGAAGCTGGCCTTGGACGAAATAGATAAATACGTAGGCTAAGCTTTCCATGTCGTCGCGTCGTGCTTGTTCAATCCCAACATGTGTATTGATTGATACGTACCTGGCGGTTCCTGTTAACGTCTTCCCCTCCTTGTAGGGAATGTGATCCAACGTCTTCGGATCCCGATACTTCTTAGCTAATCCGAAATCTATTATATGTACTAACCGATCCAACTTGCCACGCCCCATCAAAAAATTGTGAGGCTTGATGTCACGATGGATTATGAACCTCGAATGGACGAACTCAATGCGGCAAAGCATCATCTCGATCAACTGCAACGCGGTCTTCAAACTGAACTTGCGGTTACACTCGTCAAACAGTTCCTCCAACGACGGCCCAAGCAGATCCAGAACCATCACATTAAACCCATGCTCTTGCCCGTAGTAATGTACCACCGGCACACCAACACCACCTGAAGCACAGGGTCATTATCTCTTCCGGAATTTCGACCATATGGACACCGCCACGTACGTGTAGAAACGTGTAGACAGCTACTTACCTTCTAGTTGCTGCATTAGCTTCGCCTCGTAAATGAGGTGTGGGTTCCTCTTCCGCGACGACTCAATCTTAATGGCTACAGGGAGCGCACGATCGTCTTTGACGTTGAGACCAATATATACTTCGCCGAATGAGCCCGAGCCTATCTTTTGTGTTACTCGCCAGACATTCGCAACTAACGGTGAGGTGTGGGGCGACAACAAAACAGCCTCGTCCGTCATCTCGACGAAGCAAGGCTCCAAAATAATTTATAGGGCTGAAAAAACGCTGAGCGTCCGCTCATCCCACAACGCCACCCCACTACCAATCCCCTCGACACCGTTGTCTAGGACGTTTGCCAGGGGGCCTTTGGCAATACCGCGCACTCGTCGTTCAATAGCCAGCTGCAGTGCGGCGTACTTGGAGTCTTGCATCCAGGTTTTGGTTGACCCGTCACCTGACTCGTCAGTTGACCCGTCAGCTTCGGCATGCTGGAGGTGTTGGCCGAGCAGTCGACTCACCAGTTTGCCCAGGCCGAGAGTGAGGTTGCGCACGTTTCGGGTGGGACCTAGTATGAAGGAGAGGTCGCCCTTAACGTCGAGCTCGTCGGCCCAGTTGTAGGTGCGCATAACTTGGGCTGCTTCCGCGCTGTCCTGCGTCTGAGAGCTAACCTGTGCAACTAGATCAATGTACCGACGGCCTCTGCTGACCAGCGGCTCCCAGGCCTGGTAGCTTTCAGCAAACTGTCTCAAATCCTGCAACGGGCCTTTGTCCAGCATCAGCAGCCCCGTACTCCCGGCTCCCGTCTTGACTCGCACAGGCAGCTCCACGCCGGCCAAGTGCGCGCGACTTGGCAGCGAAAACTCCGACCAAGACGCCTGCAATCGCGGCAACTGCGACCGCGACACTTTCCACAAACGCTCCATGCCACCCAGAGCCCATGCCACTGAGTATAGCTGGACCGCCTTCAACGAAGATTTTTCCAACAATTCCGGCACATGTTTCGAACCACAGTAAATGTGACAACACAGGCACAGGAAACAAATCAGCTCACTACGGTCCACCCAAGGCAACAACTCCTCCCCCAACTGCTCGATGTTTGCATCAAATGTTCTGTCCGACGCCAATCGCACATCGCACACCGTCAAGGCGAGATATTCCCAAAGGACCCGCACCTTATTGGTCCACAACACCTCCGTCTTCACAACCGACTTTAGACCCGATTTCAGACCCGACGACTTCGGACCTAACTTCCGGTCTTCCCTTAGACCACATAATTCGTCCCAAACGGCCGCAAAGCGGTCTTGATTAGCTCCCTTATAATTACCTGATACTGCTGCCGCTTCCCAGACGAATGCAGCCTGCTCACAGGGGTAGCAACCCTCCATCTTCTCACGCAATAATTCTGGAGGCAATGATCCTGGCGGGTAATCACCAGTTGCAAATATAGCGGTGGTCCATTTCAGTTGCGCAATGGCCGATGTCAGATGAGTTTTCAGACGGTCGTCGTTGGTTGCTTCCACGAATTCTTGAGCAGCAGCCAACAGGGCTTGGCAATCAGATAGTGGGAGCCTCATTGAAAACGCCTCCGAAAAAAGTCCTTCAATTCTGCCCACTTGGTCTACTCGTTTAGTGAGCAGCCAGCATTGAAGTTGAATTGGGACCGAGTGTGTTGACAACTCCTTTTCTGCATCCTGGAGTGATACAGCTTCCAGAACCGGAAGCCTAGATTCAAATGCCGTCATCATGAGTCCTAGGTCTTCAGGGTGCTCCCATACCTCCCAAGCTCGTTTTAATACATTATAGGAGGTGCCTCTCGACGTCTCCTGATTTGGTACTAGTTCCGATGCGACATCCGCTGCAACCTGAGCTAATCTAAGGTAGTACTCCGACATCCGTCGGTTTGCCCAGTAAAGCAAAGATTCAGGCAGCTCCTGTAGCAATATCGCCCTGTCCTGATCCAGTTCTCCTATGCAGCGGTCCACAGTGTAATTCAAAAGGGTCCTCTCAAGGCACGCTATTCTCCATTCATTACTCAGCCAAAAGCAGTCCAGCCGCAATATCAAAGCTTCAGCCAGCGCCGACTTTAAATCCATTTGCGGGTCTTCGTCAGCTATCTCTGTTTCTATGTGCCTTCTCAACGTTTCAAACTTGTTATCCGGGCCGAGTTCCTCCAGCCACAGTTTCAACTTCCTCTGTGCAACTATGAGCTTTACCTGGCTAGCTCGAGGATCAGAATCATAATCACATGACCATAGAAGAAATAAGACATGACTCAGTTCGCCTCTAGGTGACTTATCACATAACCGACTTAACCAAGTCAACATGGTCTTTGGACTCAAATCATTGTCATTTTCGGCTAACCCGCGTGGGAGAGAATACAACAATAACGCTCGAGGGACCCAAGCAAACTGCGGACCAAACTTTACGTCGCTTGTGATCAGCGGAGCTAAGGCCCTCATTGCCTCAAAACCTACAATGGAATATGTCAGCGCGACGCCGCACGTGTGTGCACACACTTATGTATAGCTTACAGTAGTTATTATCCAGGATTGGGACAATGAGTTTTTGAAGCTGCATCTCTATGGGAGGCCATGTTTCGCTGATGTTCGGTGTTTTTTGAAGTTGACTGCTGACGAGATCCAGGAAGCGTCCAATTTGATGGCAAACCTCCGGACCAGCTGTTTGTTTGCTATGCAGGAACAGCACTTTCCAGGCTAACGACTCCAACGACTCAGCACTGCTCGATAATATGCTAAGACCTTCATCCCACTTCTTTGTCCGAAAACAATGGGGGAGCATCTATATAAAAACTCTACTAAATTTCACGCAACACATTCGCTTGATATCTAATAAATACCGGACAACCACGACCCCGTCGCGATTCGGGGGACTGACTCAGCTCCCCAAACCGCGAACTGGTGTTCACGACAGAAAAACTAACACATAAAATCCAGCCCGGTCCGTGTACCGCCGACCAGGCAGCACTCCGCCAACAATTAAACTGCTTCGTTCTCATTGGTTGTCCCTTGTCCTCGTTGTCCCTTGTTCTCGTTGTCCCTTGTTCTCGTTGTCCCTTGTTCTTTACACCTCCTCCCATTTCTTGTTTGCCCACTTCTTTCGCGCTCGACGTCTAGCTCCTTATTTGGTTCCCTCGTCTTGCTTCTTTTCCCTTATGTCTTGTTTCCGTCACCCCTTGCGCGTGTGCACCCCTCGCGCTTGTTCTTCCGTTTCTTGCTTGTCCCCTGTCCAGTTCCTCTTGTTCCAACTTTTTTGTGCGTTCTTGTTAGTGTCCGTCCTGTGTCTAGTCCGTCTTGGACGTTCAGTGTCCTTACGGTTTGGTCCCGGAGGCGCATGTGCTATCCCCAGATCGTATCTTCCGGTACTTTTCAAATGCTTCCTTGTTCATGGAATTTTGGCGGTCCGCAATAGGCTAAACTTACAGCTGATTCGGCCCCTACGTGACTCCCTCCCTCCTGCGACTCGCTCCCTCCCTCCTGCGACTCGCTCCCTCCCTCCTGCGACTCGGTCCCTGCCTCCTGCGACTTGGTCCCTCCCTCCTGCGACTCGGTCCCTCCCTCCTGCGACCTTTTGGTTCTTACATTGGCGTGAACCCTTTGGGGAACGTAGGACGAGTCAACTGACTCACTGCTGTCGTCAGCATCCACGGGCATGGGACTCCGACTCGGCAGACAGTCATGGCTGCCCAATAACCCTTGGTATATTTGTTGCCTCACTACAATCAATTGTCGTAAGGTACGGCTGGGGG